AAATGATCACTGATATAATTCTTTCAATAGATCGGCTGAACGCACAACTAATCATGACGCAAAATTCATGATTGAAAAAAAACGATTCATTATCAATTTGATATGAGCATGGTAAATTTGTATTTTTTGAACACATATCATTCTATCCATGAAATAATGTCAAATTGATTCCAAAAAATGTCAAGTTGTCGATTTCCCTCTTTTCGGAAATTCCTTAACATCGAAAAAGAGAGGATACAGCAATATGACGACATCAACCACGTGAGTGGAAGCGAAAAATATTTATTTATTTGAAATTCGAATTGGACTAATTCGAACGTTTTGTCTCTCTTGCACTAGCATACGTTTTAGTGGATTTTTCGGCACATATATGCACAACATACTAAAGCCGACTGTCAGGAGCTGTAAAACACCAAACGCACGCGGAATCGCAATTCATGTGCCTTCCGTTCAGGATTCAATTAATAGCAGCGTGATAGAAATAAGCTCTGTTAATAATCTTCAGGTGAAGCATTATAAGTTAGTCAGAATTAAGATTTCTTAAGTAATAAATACACAAAAGTAAATCAAATGTGTTTTCTGACCTTCGGATGTTCAGCTCATGAAAAACATAGTGTTTAATGGTAATGGAAATTGTGAAAAATGGACGTATTTTTAAAAAAATTGGACGGAGAAGCATTTAAATCAATTTTTTTCGGAAAGCATTTTTATACCCTTATTACATAGATGTGTATGTTTTAATATGTATATATATACACATATCCGAGTTTATATATTGGCATGTGATTTACAAACATTTATTTCAGATCATAGTAGAAATGAAGAAAGTTTGCCATTCTTAATATGGGATCAGATGAACAAAATTATTCTGCAAAGCATGGAGAATTGGCAGTCTCAAGTATTTTATTTAAGCTTTAAAATTGTAACAAAGATCTGCGCACCAGAACATTCCAGGACTCTTGCGTCTGCGTACGAGTTTGCGTGTGTACATACATATGTGCGTCCTTGTTTGTAATACATATGTACATGCCAACATCAATGCACGTGCGTAGAGCCCAAAACATTTTCGGAATGTTCTACTTTGCACATTTTATATTTTAGCATGTTTTGTAGTAGTGCAATGAAACTAATTCGCATTGCAAGTCGATTAACTAAAGCTGTTCCGCAAAGCAAGGCGGGCCGCAATTACATTTTTTTTCCAAATTTGGAGAATTGGCGGCAGTCTCGAGTATGTTGCGCAGCAGAACATTCACGTGCACACACGCCAAGACATTTATGGAATGTTTTACATTTCACAAACACGGGGGACATGCGGCTTGAACAAAAATACAAAATATAACTAATTAACATTGCTTGAATATTACTCATCATCATGATTATCATAAAAAGCTTAAAACTAAAAATTAAAAATGTACATATGTAGTTGTAGATAGAGTAGCTAACTTGACATCGTGGTTTTTCTAATAATTTCAATGGCGTTATTTGTATTTAGTTGGTGATATGTAAGACCATTTTTATTTGTGTTATTTTTACAAAAATTTATATTTTTTCAGAGAACTTTCCGATCCGATGATAAATTTTTTTAAACAAAATTCTACTGAACAGCTCAAAAGGAAAAGTTCTTTTAAATTATTTGTCTATGGAAAAACGATTGATCCCAAAATATAGAAAACTTTTGAGCCAAATAATAATTGAGCATTTGGTGGCTAGCAATATACAACCAAAACAAAATCTGTTAAAAGAAATTTCCGAAAAAATTGTCTTGTTATTTGAGTGTGATATTAAGGTAATATTTGTGACCATGAACATACATAAATTTACCTTTTTTATTTTAAATGCTTTTAGGATACTTTTTATATACAAGTAAAAGGAAAAAGCCTAAAGGATTACTTTACAACGATTATTATAATTTTTAATCGAAATATAAAGATTCCGCAACTGTTTCTAAAAATCAAACTGCTCCTGAAAAGTAGTTAGTGGAAAGTACAGACGATAATATTGATATATGTTGGTTAAAATTCAATGTCGAGCCGATGAAGACAGTTGTTGAAGTATGGGAAAGGACTTACGAATATAGAAATAACTTTGTTGAAACCGCTGAGTCCTTGGAAAATATTTTTGATACCCTACCAATCCTTAAGCAGTCGTTTGGGTTTGAGCTCGTAAATACAATTTATTTATTTTTTATGTTTATTTATTGACTTATTTGTTAAATCAATAGATATTGGCCGATTTCAAAACCAAAAATGAAATTAATTTTTATATATACCAAAATTTATTTAATTTTCAATAAAATCAGTTCTTGATATTGAAAAATTGACCTTTAAATAAAGAAAATGGGATAATTGATTTTCGCTTGGTAATTGGTTATTCAAATTTGAAAAAATAGCCTTTAAATATAGAAACAAGTTTCTTGATTTACGAAAAAATTAGTTGTTCGATTTACAAGAATTGAGTTTAAATATAGAAACAAATTTCTTGAAATACGAAAAAAGAAAAACAATATATAGTTTAAGAAAGAAGTTCCCTAAAGATTACAAAAGTAGTACTTGTTCCTTGTTCTGTTTATCCTTCTCTTTCTGATCCTTGTGTACAAGTGGCTGGTTGTGTGCAGAAAACAAGAAATATAAACTAATAATTAAAACAACGATCATAAAACATATCCATCTAATATTTGAGTTCTTATTTAAACTGATAAAGGGCTGAACAGTTGAACGGTATATTTCAATAACATGAAAGCATATCAGTTTGGTATGTGTTGTGTCCTGCTTTTTGCGCAGTGTAGATGCCGGCTAGTCATCGACAGTCCCAGGGAGGGGAACAACCAACAATGCTGTCTACGCAGCAGACGCTCGGACAACGGCAATCTTCACAACGGATTTTTCTTGAACATCTGGACTGGACAACACAGCTCTTATCGTGGTCCTGGAGTCCCTCCCAACCATGAGTGCATCCTTCAACATACTTTTGGACACATCTCCCAATTCTGCCTTGTGGGTCGTGCTACCTCGCCTAACTCATCTCACCCCCCAACACGAATTTCTATTCACACGACTTCATTTTGTTTTCACATTATAATTCAGAATTTTCTCTTAAATTTTAACATTTAATAATCCTACCTACGGTACCGAACTTTTACAGGGAATACATATATATATGAATCAATAAATTAATAACAATAAACAATATTCCAATAGTTTTGGGTTTGTGTAAATAAATAAATAATTTAAATAGATATAAGTAGGAATAAATTAGTTCGGGCGGGTTACATTATCAGAGATATCAGTCTCAATTCTTTTATTTTAATTTTCGGCTTGCTGACTGGGTTTGCCGCTTGCAGTTTCGGGAACAAATTTTTATTTCTTGGTGGCAAATATAATTTTAAGGGGCGAATAAAAACCTGGGGCCACCTGGGGATGAGTGGCCAATTTTCTTGTCGAAAATTTAGATCTCCTCCTGGTGGTTGGTCTTCGTCTCTCCTTACGTAAGTCTATTTTCCTGATCCAGGCTTATCCCTCACGGAATATACTACAAATATTTATATTTTAACTCCACTCACATCAACAAGTATTTTTTTATCACTCACTGGGTAGGAACTTGACTTCTGCTAATATTATATTTTTTTCCAACAGAACCGACTGCGACCAATTACTTTTGCCCTTTAATCACCCTTGCTTGTTTCACTTTTCCCAGCCTCTCTCCGCCCAGAACCACTCAAACTTTTCGAATTTAAACCTTGGTTCATTTGGGAGTTTTCCGGTTTAAGGAACCAGTTCCATGACTTGACTAAGCTGCACGACTCCCTGAGCTCACGAGTCGTCGATAGTCGTGTATCGATTTTTCGCCTATCGTTATCAGTCTTAATGTAAACAGCTTTGCTAAATTCACAATTTGTGCATATTTTTGTCGTTTAGCACATAACATATGAAAGCATATCAGTTGGATATTAAAAAATTTGGTAACAACTTTGATATATGCGCATATCAATCTGGCATGAAAAATACCAAACTGACATGTTCGAAAATATGAATATGATATGGCAACATAAGGGATCAGAATTGATATGCAAATATACCCGATTGATGACCAGTTTTGGTATTTTATTTTCTTTGCTCAGCTCTTACGTTCATACCCCCTTCCCATAGAGTCAATCCGTTCGAAACGGTTGGGATTTTTTCATAGAGTAAGAATCTATATAGAGACACCATTTGCTCTGCCCGAACGTCTGCCCAACCTCTGATGAGAGCCAATTCAAGGTCAAGTTTGAAGCTATCTTCGATTTTTCAACACACCCAACAAGTGTGAAGCAAATTTATAAATAAATAATAAATTTTTTTTTTTTTGGTTAGTATTGAGGAGAACAACATTTTTTTTAATGTGACTAGATTTGTAAAATAATATAATTTAATAAAAACTGTGAGTGATCCTACCGTTTTTTTACTGGAAATCGAATTTTGTTTATTTTGACAAACATTTTCCTGAACAAATTCACAGAGTGTTCAGAACAGCAAAACAAATCTGTAATAAACTATAGATGTTTAAAATTTTGTTTTGATTTATAGTTTTTTTTTTGCGCGCCTATTGACCGTGGTTCTCGTTTTCCAGATGTGTATCACATGAGCTTCCAAGAATATTATTTTCCACGTCTTCATCGTCTAAGTTGCCTGTACTTTTGAGTTCGCAAGATAGTAACTGCATAACCTCGCTTCGATGGTTCACCTTTTTTTGTAATCGCCTGATTAGGTTAACACTGGAAATATGGGATCTGATGTATCCATTGTTCTTTGGAACACGTCTGTAAAATTTGATAACCGGCAGCATTTTCTGGCATGGTGCAGGCGGTCGGAATTATAAATCTTGTTCCGCGACTCGGCACCCTCTTCTCCAAAGTAACCAACTGGAAGGAGTGTGTTCTGAATGATATCAGCTGAGTGTCCCACACTCTATCGTTAATCGCAACCCTGTGGATCCTTGCGATCCCGATCTCGTCTCGGGCCCAGGTATGCAGAACATAGTGACCGTAAATGCATGTCCTCGGAGGTCTCAACGCAAGAAATTTGTAACGGCGCAAGTGGTCACTCGCCCAAAGCACCACTCGAGGATCAACAACGGACAAGAGTCTCTATGCAGCAACGGCAACAGCCACAGCCATCTCAATCGCCCAAGGAATCCATCGACAGATCCAACTCGCAGAACCAGGCGATCACCCACGACGGGCTCACGGACGTGGAGGCTAGTCCGCAGGCTTGGCAGATTTTCTGGCAGGGCCTGCGCATCAATGCATCGATAGCCCCGCAGAGCCAGGAGGATTCTGTAGAATTTGTTTTCGGGGTTCAAAGTTCGAGTCTTGCCCAAAAAACACACTTTATTTTTTTTTCTTTTTTAATAAATAAATCTGATATATCGCTCAATACTTTAGCCATAGCGGGTATCCGAACCGGGGTCCTCTCACATCAGAGGCGCCTTACCCATTGATCAATATTTTTGGGTTCTGTTTTTAAAATTTGGTTAATAATAAAAAATGGAATATATTTTAATAAAAGTGGGCGTAAAATAATTTTTTTTTTTGGTTATTATTGAGGAGAACAACATTTTTTTTATTGTGACTAGATTTGTAAAATAATATCATTTAATAAAAAATGTGAGTGATCCTACCGATTTTTTTATTGGAAATCGAATTTTGTTTATTTTGAAGATCATTTTCCTGAACAAATTCACAGAGCAAAACAAATCTGTAATACACTATAGATGTTTAGAATTTTGTTTTGATTTATACATTTCTTTTTTTGCGCACCTATTGATCGTGGTCCTCGTTTTCCAGCTGTATATCCCATGAGCTTCCAAGAATATTGTTTTCCACGTCATCATCTTCCAAGTCGCCTGTACTTTTGAGTTCGCAAGATAGTAAGTGTATAACCTCGCGAAAATATACGATTCGGCAGTGAAGGGTTGCTCTGATGAGTATCCTTGCTTGTAGTTTGACTGCCCAGAGCTGCCATCAAACCCGTAGTTCAGAATTAAATCTGCTGCTAAAAAATCCGTGCCTTGCTCTTATTTTATGCTCAGAAATACTTATTCTTTCTAGGATGCAATGCGAGCTGCTGTGTGGTCGAGTAGGTTTTGTTGAGGTACCTCTGCCTTTGTCTCGGAAATTTGCAGTTCAGAGGGCCGTAAATTTTTCTTCTGATCAGCTACCCATTGTACAGCGGATATATGTGGTTTTTTTTCACTAATAAACGACACTCCATCGTTAATCGCAACCCTGTGGATCCTTGCGATCCCGATCACGTTACGGACCTCTGTCCGAACGAGATGATCGAACTTTACATCGACGAGGAAAGCAAGAATCCAATATCTTAGCGGTGCTCAAAGATTGTGTACTTCTGCTGGCATCTGAAGGTCGGATACACCAGAGAATCTCGTCATGAATCTGATTTCGGGCCCAGGTATGCAGAACATAGTGACCGTAAATGCATGTCCTCGGAGGTCTCAACGCAAGAAATTTGTAACGGCGCAAGTGGTCACTCGCCCAAAGCACCACTCGAGGATCAACAACGGACAAGAGTCTCGATGCAGCAACGGCAACAGCCACAGCCATCTCAATCGCCCAAGGAATCCATCGACAGATCCAACTCGCAGAACCAGGCGATCACCCACGACGGGCTCACGGACGTGGAGGCTAGTCCGCAGGCTTGGCAGATTTTCTGGCAGGGCCTGCGCATCAATGCATCGATAGCCCCGCAGAGCCAGAAGGATTCTGTAGAATACGAAAAATGATTTTATTTTGGTGTAAAAGAACTAGAACATTTTATGTATTTACACAGCTAGTATATGAAAATATTGACTATTCGGAATCTAAATCTGAAATTCCAATTCTCTATTTGATTGTTTCCGAGATATCCGCGTTCATATTTACGATTTTTTGAAGTTTGTGGGCGGTTTGTGGCGCTGAGTGACGAGAGCAATGTATTTCAGTTAAAATTTGTAGTCTAGCATAAAAGGAGCCAGTTTTTGGCGGTTTGTGGGATGTGGCACTCTGCTGAAACAAACTTGCGCTGCGTAATAATCTCTGGAATCTGCATGCCTAATCCCAACTTTTTAGCTTTTGTAGTTTCCGAGATAAAAGCGTCCATACGGACGGACAGACATACGGACAGACGGACATGGCTAGAGCGACTCGGCTAGTGATCCTGATCAAGAATATATATACTTTATGGAATCGGAAACGCTTCCTTCTGCCTGTTACATACTTTCCGACGAATCTAGTATACCCTTTTACTCTACGAGTAACGGGTATAAAAATATTGGACAGAGTTCATACAAGGGGAAAAAAAAATTAGTTGAATACAAATATGTTTGAATATTTTTTCGTAACTATCTAGATACGTATTTTATCAGTTTCAAAAGTGATGTAAGTTTCAAACAAACAGAAAATAATTTAGTTACATAGATATTTCGTTGACTGACAGAAACACGAAAATGTGAGTTAAAAAAAAGGGCAACACAAATTTTGTTGAATGTTGTCCATAAACCATTCGAATAGGTATTTTATAAGTTGCAATTAATGTGATGTAAGCATTGTTTAGCACCAGTTTTTAACTGAAATGCAGATAATTTAGTTTAAAAAAATTTTTTAAATGAATTTCAATTAAATACGTTTTTGAACGGTCTTCCCGTCGTCGGCAAAGATTTCGGCCTTCAATTCTAAAGCACGAAGTCGAGGATTTATCTTTTCTTTTCGGACTATTTCTTTTACTCTACGAGTAACGGGTATAAAAATTAAAAACAGGTATGCGCGCATATTAAACTAGCCGCTAGTGCCAAAAACTTTCCTTGCCCCTTAACTATCCATACCCCACTCCGCCCTATAGACTTTTTATTGGATTTGGTTGAAGGACGGATTTGTGTCATACTTTTTAGTCTAATATTTTGAATAGGAATTTACCTCCGCCCCTGGCCACATGAGAAATGCATGGTGTTTGAATTTATCAACTTAATGACATTCCACAAATAAATATTTGACTTAACTTTCGGAATATCCAGCGGCTGCAGGGGTGGCAGGAAATATCAGGTAAATAAACTTTTCGTATTTAATAAAAATACTGTGCATCATACTGAGATTACTTAAACTGCCTGATAGTGTTGTTAAACGGTTGCCGTTTTAAAACCCCATACTTTAACTTAAAGTTCTACAAACTCACCGCATCTTTGTGCGACTCAATAGCTACTCGGACATTAGCTAATCAGATGTAGTTTAATCTATGAACGAAATAAAAGCAAATGCATTTGTGAGCTAAAGATGCTTTATATCTGGAGAAATCGAAAAAAAGGTGCCAATGCTTATTTACGTCTAATAAGGAAACAACTTAATCAGCATACTCTGCGGTATTGCAAAATTCCTTTTTTATTGTTTCCCCTTACGTATGGAATTGAAAAATGTACCTTGTCTAGGTATTTATTCTTGCATATGTCTTCTACCTTACCTATCTGGGTACTAACAAGGGAAAACGCTAAATTCAAAGGCCAAATTTAACCCATTTTTGGAATGCCAATAGATATTGACATATAAAAAATAAAAATTTATCAACTGGAAAAAGACAGAAGAATATAGGTGTTACAATCTGAAGATGAACTGAACTTTTATTTGATTTTTTGCTTGTAGAAAGAAAAACGTTGGTTGGTTCCTCTGTTGCACTATGGGGACTTTGCCCTGTTTTTTGGCATAAATGTGTTTTTCACAAGTATTTCAAATTTCGATATATTGATGTTATTGAATTAGGAACAGATCACAATGTCATGTTACATAACAGAAATGTTAATTTAACAGCCCACTGTTAAAATAACAGCTGTCAAACTCAGCTGCTGCAAGCGGAAAGCACATGTTTACGTTGGACCTAATTGTACCCGTTACTCGTAGAGTAAAAGGGTATACTAGATTCGTCGGAAAGTATGTAACAGGCAGAAGGAAGCGTTTCCGACCCCATAAAGTATATATATTCTTGATCAGGATCACTAGCCGAGTCGATCTAGCCATGTCCGTCTGTCCGTCTGTCTGTCCGGATGAACGCTGAGATCTCGGAAACTATGAGAGTTACAATACTGGGATTAGGCACGCAGATTCCTGCGCAGCGCAAGTTTGTTTCAGTAGAGTGCCACGCCCACTCTAACGCCCCCCAACCGCCCAAAACTGTGGCTCCTACAGTTTTGATGCTAGAATAAATTTTAATTGAAATGTATTGTTCTCATCAATACCTGTCGATTGACCCAAAAAAATGTTTGCCACGCCCAGTCTAACGCCCACAAACCGCGAAAGCCTGTGACGCCCACAATTTTCATGCTAGATAAAAAATTTTAACTGAAATGTATTGGTCTCGTCAATACCTATCGATTGATTTGCCACGCCCACTCTAACGCCCACAACGCTTAAATCTGTATACCGGCGGTAGCTTTGCTGCTTGCATATCTCCATTTAGCTGAGTAACGGGTATCTGATAGTCGACTATAGCGTTCTTCCTTGTTTTTTAGTGAAAAGTTAAGTAAATATCTTTTGAACGAAAGCTCGCAAATCCTTGAAATTTGAAATGAATATTCATTCCTCAGGTGTGTACTATGTGTTATAACTAACATAATGCTTATTTTGTGTGTATTTTTCTAACAATTTAATAATTTAGCGAGTGAAGTCTTCGTATAACTTTTGGAACAAAATTTCAACTTTGAAGAAAGTTTACAAAATATGTTGAAATTTATTGAGTAAGTGTCCTAGTCCGTGTTGTGGACTGATCAATTCCTATTTAATAGAATCTAGACTCAAAAGTTTACAAAAAATGTTGAAATTTATTGAGTAAGTGTCCTAGTCCGTGTTGTAGACTGATCAATTCCTATTTAAAAGAATCTAGACTTAAACTGCGCTTTTTGCGACTTTTCGCGAAAATTAAATTTGTAGGTAGCAACCTCTCGATTGGCAATGCGGCCCTGTTAGATTTTTGGCGCAAGCAAAAGTGCGGCCGTGTCAAGCAGAGTGCCGTATTCTCCTTTATTTGTCAGCACATCAACGACAGTTTCCTTAAAATTACTGAAACTCGTCTAAAGGAGAACGGAGAAAGCACGAATGTTTCTGGTAATTTTATCGGTACTATGCACACTGGGCCAGCCGATCCGATTTTTGGCCAAAAACAAGTTTTTTTAAAGAAAATGACCAGACTGAGTATGGAGTCCTTTTTATAATACATTAAACTAATTTATGCCAAAGTTTCAAAGAATTCGGGCAAGTAGTTTTCTTTTAACGTATTTTTAAAGTAAAAAATTCATCAAATATTGATGGAAATGAAAACAAAATCTAGAAGTCAAAGATGCTGATGTAGCTGTTCGACTTCTTCACAAAACTTTTAGAAGTCATTATTTTCAACAAGTAAAAAATATTAAATAGCTCGTATGTCTACTTGTTTCCTAAAAGAAACTTTTTTGTTGATTTTTAC